GCCTTTGAATTATGGTGTTGGCGAAGAATATTGAATATGCCATGAACTGCCAAAAGAACGAGCAAATCTGTCTTGGAAGAATTACAGACAGAATGCTTCTTAGAAGCAAGGATGGTGAGATTCGTCTCACACACTTTGGACATATTATCAAGAGGGATCAGTCCCTGGAGGACATCATGCTTCGTAAAGCAGACAGTCAGCGTTAAAGAGGAAGACCCTCAACAAGACAGACTGACACAGTGGCTTCAACAATGGGCTCAAGTATAACAATTGTGAGGATGGCACAGGATCGGACAGTGTTTTGTTCTGGAGTACACAGGGTCACTGTAAGTTAGAACCGACACAACAGTACCTAACAACAACAACATGTATTGTTATAAAAATTCCAGGAAATTTGGTTAATCAAAAAGCAAGCGTAAACTCCAAGTTACCTTCTGTGTTACAAAATAGGGGAAATGACATGTTTTATAAGTTTTACTTTTACATCAGTTAAAATAGGCATTCCTCTGTGTTTTAGAAGTTCATATCCATTAAACTGAAAAATTCTCAGTAGAAACACAAATTGATCTAGAAATTTTCTTCCAGTGGCAACTGTGAGCCCAAGAAGTTAAATACACCATCTCATATGTTGAGCTTGTCCAGCAAAAAAGAACACTTTTACTTTAGATTCCCCTTCAAGACTGTGGAGAGCAGGTGAAAATTATAGGGACTCACTACCAGCTCTAGGCAGAGATGGGGGAGGACAAAGATTTAGACTGGGGAAAAACGCTTCCCATACACCAGAAACGCTCAAGGAAAAACCATCCTTCCAAAAAGGTGGATCTGGAGACCCCATACATGATCCAGCTGGACTTACTGTCCCCTGCCTCATTTCACTGATGAATTCAGGAGAGGACCAAGCCCCACACACGGCCCCATGCTGTAACGGTCAGGGCCTTCTGCTACCAACTCTCTCCTTCTGTCTTCTACCACATCACACGGTGTGAGTGGTGGAGCTCTAGTTTTAGGACAGGACAGAAAAGGCTTTAGTGTCTGGGGGAAGCCAAGAAAACCGTGTGCAGGGATGGGACAGGGACGGCTCTGGAGGATCTGGGCCTCGGTCTCCTCAGCCAGAGCTGCTCCGTCTTCAGACTCTCGTCAGGAGGTTCTGTCATTCAACCCAGAGAACCAAGGCCGAGGACAGGGATATTAACCCCCATGATGCCAGCCCTGAGAGTCACATAAGGAAGGTGGCCCCAGGCTTCCAAGGCTTGAAAATCCACGTGTGTAGAGAAAGGGCCCAGTGACAGTGGAGCAGGGCCTCAGGATGCCTCTTAGGGCTCAGACCCTTGGCCTCCTTTGCCACTTTTTACCTCAGTTAGGAACCTCAGGGCCTGGAGCACATGGTCCCCAACAAGTCTTATCTAGCCTCACCCCAGTTCTCTGTAGTACTCACCATGTCCTGGCTCCAGCTTCTGGAAGTCTAAGTGAATGTGCTCTCTAAACCCAAGAAGCCACTTCAGGAAGAGGGATGGCAGTGGAAGGAGGGCCACTAGGCAGTCTGGAGGCAGATGAATGATGTTAGCACAGCCAGTCAGAGCAGGTGAAATCCTTACTCATGATTCCATGGATGTGCAAGATGGTCACCCTTGGTCCCCAGCTGCCTAGACTGGACTATCTGTCCCCATGCCACACCTGGGACCTAAAATGGAAGAAGGAGATAGTGTTAAGGAGTGACAGGTTCCTGGCCTTCAGCTCTTTCCTGGGCAGGGCTTCCACCAGGCTCGAGGCCATGCTCCACTCTGAGGACATTTGCATTTAACGCAGATCCTGCTCCAGCCTGCCAGAGCACACACTTGCATTCTTCATGCAGCTCCACAGGCCTCTTCCTTTGGCAACAAAGTCACAGAGGGAGGGGCTTCCTCATCCCAGAGCACAAGAGGCATCCAGGCCTGCCCAGGCTGGAGAACGTGAACCTGGCTTCCTCCAGGGTGTCATGGCTCCAAGGTTTTGGTTGGGGGTTCACCTGTGAGGTTAAGTGTTCACCTTTGTAGAACAATCCACATACTTTTATTTGATATCAACATGAGAGAATTTTCAGGGAGAGTATATTTTTCAAGTTTAAGTCATGAACTCACCACACATCACTGATTTTTAATTGTGTACAGCTGATAGTCTTCTAGTGTGCTTTGTTTTTTTTAAACTTTCATTTATTTCATTTACAGTACAGTAATACGTGATCAGTACTTCTCCTGTTGATTTTGCAACTAATATTTCTTTTTTTTTTTTTCTTTTCACTCTCTGGCCATGACACTACCAGTCCCTGAGCTTTCCTGACATCTGGAATAATTCCTGAACACATTCTCTTTCAACCTTATAATAATCAATCAACCAATAAATCAGAAAATCATTACGTTTTCTCTAAGGAGCAGTCCCCCACGTCTGTTCCCATTTCCTTCCTCCCCAATATCCGACCTAGCTGACTCTTACTTTTATTTCTTGGTCTCAGTGTAAATGTTTTCTCTCTCTCTCTCTCGCGTGATGTTTACCAGGGGCTCTTCTTCAAGCACTGTCCTTCCTTTTATTAATTCTCTAACAGCATTCTCTAGTTTTAATTCACATCCTATTTCTATAATTGTTTTTCCAGCATAAACTGGGAGCTTGTGAGATATAGAGAATCCTAAGCCCCACCCAAGATAAAAATTGACATTTTCACAAGACCCCTGGGGTATCCACCTCCAAGCACTCGCTACTCTAGAGCCTGTGAGTGAGGAAAGGAACATTCTATCACAGGTGCCCTGTCCCAGCCTGCCCACCAGCCTGGTCCATGTCCCCCACTCCTCAGCTGGCTTCGGTGGTCCAGCCAGGCCCTGCTCGCCCCTCCCAGCCTCCAGCCTATGCTGAGCTTATCACTGAAGGTAGATGCCACCCCAGTGCCCCCCCACCCCCAGGGCTGGAGCATGCTGTCTGGCGTGTGCAGATAAAGGCAGGGGGGTAGGGGGCATGCGCACACCCTCAGCCCTCTCCAAAGTAGAGCGCAGGTTACCAGAGAAACTCATCGCAGAGGCAGACACCCTAGAGCGACAATCCCTGGAAGGGCCTGGGCCAGGACAGAGCTATCCCATAACTGGGACATAGGCCCTGAGGGCTGCCTCCTTCCTGCCCTCCCCAAATCATGGGCCTGAGGGTGTGTGGTATCTCGGCCTTCCTGGAAAGACTGGGAGCTGGCCCCTACAGCCCAGGGATGGCCGGGGCTAGGTGGAGAGGGGGTGCCAAAGGCCAAGGCGAGGGCAGAGGCTGCGAGGTGCCTGGGAAGGATCCAGGAAAGAGGAGCTGTATCAGCCACTCCCCCATCTTGGCCGGAGCCTGGGATCGAAGCCTGCAAAGAGAGGCTGAAAGGTGGCAGACGGTACATGCTGGGAGAAGGGAGGGCTGACCTGGGCTCCGGGGTGACCCTGTCGTGGCCTCCCTCTCCTAGGCGGAGGGGAAGAGACCAGCGCCCAGCTCTCATACCACTGGCAGGAGCCCGGAGAGAGGGGGTGGACAAAAGGAGTGTGGGGGGAAGGCTGTACTGGAGGACAGGAGAGGGTTATCAGGCAGGACTGGCGGGTTAGAGATCCCACCCTCAGGAAGCTGAAGGCTGGGAGGACTGAGGTGGCAATGATGGGATGCGGGGGTGGAAGGCGGGTGAGGGCCCATCATAACCAATCTGCAAAGGCTAGGCTACTCGAGAAGTGCACACCTGTTTAGACCCCTTCCTTCCCCTTTGTCGCCATGAGGCCTATTCTCCTCCTGAAGCTCACCACTCCCCCAGCCCCCAAGGCCAGACTACTGGAGAAGTGCACACCTGTTTAGACCCCTTCCTTCCCTCGCATCACCATCAGGCCTGTTCTCCTCCTGAAGATCACTGCTCCCCCAGCCCTGACATTAATGAAACAGAGAAAAAGAATCACATTATTACCTCAATCAACACAGAAAAGCATGACAAAATCCAAGACCCTTTCAAGATTAAAAACATTCAACAAACTAGACACAGAAGGGAAATTCCTCAATATGCTAAAAGGCATTTATGAAAACCTACAGCTAAAGTCATACTCAAAGGAGAAAGACTGAAATCATTCCCCCTAAGAACAGGACAGACCAGTACGTCCACTTTCACCACTGCTATTCAATACTGTACTGGAAGTTCTAGCCTGAGCAATTAGATAAGAAAAAGAAATAAAAGGTATACAAACAGGAAAGGAAGAAGTAAAACTATCTCTAGTCACAGATAGGGTCCTATGTATAGAAGATTCCAAACAATCCACAAGTACTAGAGCTAATAAATCAGCAAAGTTGCAGGATACAGTTCAATACACAAAAATCAGCTGCGAGCTGCGGTTCCGTAAACCAGCAAGGAACAACTTAAAAAGGAAATCAAGAAAACTCTTTTATTTACAATAGTATCATTAACATCACGGCGCTAGGATTTACAACACATAGGAAAATCACATCAGATGGCAAAATGGTGGACAACCACACAATACTGGAAATCGTGGCCTAGTCAAATTGATACGCATATTTTGGGAGGACACAATTCAATCCATGACACCAACCAGGAGATTAGAGAGTTGGGGCCTGTGTTTATATTAGACAAATAAAAATAGATAAATGACAGCCCACTGCAGGAGCAAGGGGAAACATAGGGCCACCCACAGGGGGTCAGCTGGTGAAACTATCTACATGGAAATTAGGTGGGAGTTTCTTTGGATACAAAGCCACACTTTAAGCCAAAACGAAGAAATGACAGTTTTCTCACTCAGGTCCTGAAGAGAGGCACGCTCTAGGGCTGCACACAAAGTTCACAGGAGTGTCCAAGGGGAGAATCAAAGAGAGCGCGAACAGACCGTGACTCAGCCTTTAATAGGGTCCCAGGGTCAGCGGCGGGGAGTACACTCTGTTTCATGGGCTTAGGGACTATCAACTAATTTAAAACAAGTGGCAGAAAACTCACCGTCTCGGGGCACGAATTTGGCAGAAAGGGCACGGGGTCCTTACCTGGATTCCCAGGTGTGGCTCGGGAAAGAGAAAGCTGGAGAAGTGAGGAAGTGCCTCTGGACTGTTATCTGGGATTTTGCAGGGCTAGCAAGGCAAGCATGCTTGCTCTTTTGAAATAAGTAACGTTTACGCAGAGGGTGAAGAAAAGGGATGCCGAGGCATTTACAAAATGGAGTCTGGGTTTCTTATCACAGGGCTTTGGGCTCCAGCCTGATCTGGGGGATGGAGAGGCAAGTAGAGGGCTGGAGTTCAGCCACATAGGTGATAATTCAACCAATCATGCCTACATAATGAAGCCTCAAAAAAAAAAAAAAATACCTCTGGACACTGAAGCTCACCTGAGTATAATGGGTTGGCAATAATTCATGGGTACTGCCACCAATCATACATATACGTCTATATACAACCAAAACCAAACCCATTGCTGTCGAGTCAATTCCGACTCATCGCGATCCCACTGGACAGAGTAGAACTGTCCTATAGGGTTTCCAAGGAGCGGCTGGTAGATTCAAACTGCCGGTCTTTTGATTAGCAGCCATAGCTCTTAACCACTGCGTCACAAGAGCTAGACATACACATATATATGTAAACCTGTGAGAGCCGGAACTTGATGAGACTGCCTTGTTTTTCCAGGTCTTGCAAGTTTTACGCTGCTGACAGGGTGCTTACTCACGCTCTCTATTAAGAATCCTACTTCGTTTTACTTTTCGGTCTTCCTTCTCTGACAGGTTTCCGTCTTACACAGGTTCTGGCTTTGGCTACACACGCGCGCACGCGCAAACACAGAATACAAACTGTCTTTAACTCTTTGAAGTTTCTTGGTTTTTTTCCCTAATGTTCCTGAGTCCCTGGGTGGCAGAAACGGTTAACGCAATCAGCTACTAATTGAAAGACTGGAAGTCTGAGTCTACTCGGAGGCTCCTTGGAACAAAGGCTTGGTGATCGACTTCCAAAAAATCAGTCATTGAAAACCCTGTGGAGCATCGTTCTATGCTGACACATGTGGGGTCGCCGTGAGTTGGAGTCAATTTGATGGCAACTGTTTTGTTTTATTCCTAGGGAAAATGAAGTTCCCTAGATGGCACAAACAGTTTGCGCTGAATGGCTAACCTAAAGGCTGGCGGTTTGAACCCACATAGTGTTATCACAGAAGTGAACGACTGGCGATCTGCTTCTATTAAGATTATAGCCAAGCCATTTAGATTACAGCCAAGAACCTTATGGAGCAGTCCTGCTCTGTAACACGTGGGCTCACCGTGAGATGGAATCAACTCGATGGCAACTAAAAGGGAAAATTAAACACAAAGACAGGAATTCATGTCCGTGTTTGCACGTAAAAATGTGTCGGAAACATGACTAAATAGAAACATACAAATTCAAAGAAAAATTGATTAATCATTAAGCTTAAAGGGAAAAATTAAAAACTATTACCACTGAAATCACCACATCCATAATGCAATTAAGTGTAAGCACACTGAGGATTTGGTACATCTAAATTAGTGAATAAGGAGCCCTGGTGGCGCAGGGTTAAACTCTGGGCTGCTAAACAAAAGGTTGGTGGTTTGAACCCAAGATGTGTCGATCTGCTCCCATAAAGATTAAAATGAAACAACCAAGCCTACTGCTGTCAAGTCGATTCCAACTCAGAGCGACCCTGCAGGACAGAGTCGGACTGCCCCACAGGGTTTCCAAGGCCATAAATCTTGACAGAAGCAGACTGTCACATCTTTCTCCCACGGAGCAGCTGGCAGGTTCAAGCCATCGACCTTACAGTTAGCAGCCGAACACTTAACCACTGTGCCAG